CAAGGATGGAGAGAAGGAGGTGAAGGGGGAGCGAAGGAGAAGAGGAGGGACAAGGAAGAGCAGCCAGGCGGCAACTACCAATATTTTCTCTCATGATTCTTTGGGTTGACTGTGTTCAGTGGGGTGGTTTTCTTGCTGACCTCATTTGGAGTCTGGAGCAGTCAGACGGGAGCTGGACCCAGCATCCTCTGGAGGCACAACTGAGCTGCAAGAGCAAAGATGGCTCTGCCATCACTTGCCTGGTGACCTCGATGCTGCTTTTGTGGCCTCTTCACCTGGGTCATCTCATCCTCTAGGTCCTATCTTTCCAGCAGAGCCAGCAAACTTCCTGCACGGGACCTGGCTTCCATGGGCACGAAGCCAGAGTGCCAGGCTGTCCTACAGCTTCGGCCCAGAACTGGCACTACGTTCTGTTGAGTTAACTGAGTCCAAAGCCAGCTCAGAGTGTGTGGCCTGGGGGCTGCATAAGGGATGAACAGGGGGCAGCACAGCTCCTGGGGGCCATGAAGGAGTCACCTGCAGTCACCCTACCAGTAAGTGGAGAGCCAGGTGCAGCCCCAGGTCTGTCTGGCTCTGCATCCCACTCTCGGCTCTCACCAGGCACCAGCCTCTCCAGGTGTCATCAGGTGTTTGGAGTGAGGGTTAGAGCAGGGCATGGTGCGGATGCATGCTGCACAGTCACACTGGGGAGGGGGTGTGCATCTCGGAGCCCTCCTGGGCACTGTGACTGGCCATCAAGATGGGTGCTGTCACTCGAACCTCCACTCTGTGTCCCCTTTACCTCCCTCATTCTTCATCCTTCCTCAAACCCCATCTCGGCTTTGTTTTCCTGCAAACTGGTTGTGCTGTCAGTTGAGTAAGGATGCAGGACACCCACGCACAGCTGCCAGCGGAGTGTGCTCACGGACACGTGCTCAGTCCACGCTTGTGCTGTTTCCTGCTACTCATGAGGCTGGGACCAAAGGGCAACTTGACCCAGGTGCCCTGTTGGGCCACCCTGAGTGGAGTTGAGGGAGGGGGCAAGGTGTACAGCCTGAAGTCTCCAGCCATTCTGCATGTGAGCCAGGCTGGCTGGGGCTCCCACCTTCCATCCCATGCCAGCCCGGCTGCCTTGAGCTTGGGAACTCACCTCCATGTCTCTTCTCTCCCCAGCAAATGGAAAGAATCCTGAAGAAAGCATCCAAAACCCATAAGCAGAGAGTGGAGGTGAGTCACCGTGCCTGGTGTGAAAGACTGAGTCTCTTAGGGTCCCCTTTGGGCCCAGAGGCTGGGAGCCATTGGAGTGGGAGGGGAGTTGACCCAACAGAAGTGACACCTCCCTGAGGTCATTCAGAGGAGAGCCCAGGGTTCAGGCGTCTAAAAGACCTGGCAGAGTGGGTTTGAGAGGAGGGGGCTCGCTCAGGAGAGACAGGGTATGGAAGAGGTGGGGCTGGGCAGCATCCCATATCCATAGCGCCCTCCTTGGGTCCGAGCCGACACAGGCTGTCTCCTCCCCTTTCCCAGGACTTCAACAGACACCTGGACACTCTCACGGAGCATTACGACATCCCCAAAGTCAGCTGGACGAAGTAGCCTCCTGGCCCTGGGTACCCAGCAGCATCGAGGCTAAGCAGAAGGCCAGGTCAGGGTTATGTTTGGTCCCTCTGGTATTTTCTAGAAACTTTGCTTTACACACACCCTCGCATCTTCCTTGACCGTGCTTTTCGAAGCTGTGTAACCCCATCCTGGAACTTGATTAAAGACAGACTGTCCTTTTACTCAGGTGAGGTTTCTTGGTAGTGCACAGAAGATACACCTTTTTGGTTTGGATGGAAAGTTTTGAAGGTTCGTGTGGAGGCAAAGGCCATTTGTGCCCTGCAAAAGTGATTTTACTCCCCAGTCACAGCCAACCCTGTGAGACCAGCCATCCGTCTTCACCAGGATGAGACAACCCCAGAGGATAAGGAGCTAATGCAAGCGTGGGCTGCAGTGCGCAGCCTCCCGCGGGGCCCTGCGTGGGCTGCCCTTCCAAGCTCCCTCTAGCCTGGGGCTCGTGCTGTTCTCCCCAGGCCCCAGGAGGCCACTGGAAGCTTCGTGGCCTTCACACTGCCTCCTCAGCCACCTGGCCAGTGAGGCAACACAGCCTGGGTGGCAGAACCACGACCTGAGACGAGGATGGGCTATTGCCGTGGCAGGCATTGCTAATCGATCACAGCACTCTTTGTAATGGAACCCAGACACAGTCTGCCTCACAAACCTCAGCCCAGGCTCCGAGCAGCCCCTCGTGTTTACTCAGAATGGGCACGTCACACGGGAGCCAGGTGTTGAGTTTGGGGCTGTACTGTGTAAACCGGAATAAAGCAAAAACCAGTTATTAAATACAAGTCTGATTGTCTTACTATTGCTATAGGCTAATTGTTACTGAAGTGCTCCCTTTTGGATCTATGGCATGTGAAGAAAGTACATGCTACAAAACAACTCAGTCTGGAAAAACTTAGGTGGCACATCTGTTTCCACCTGTGGTTCACACCTAAGAGAGACGACGTGCGCTCATTAGTGGTGGCTCTTTTCGGCAGTGATTCTCCCATTGCCTGGTGGAAAGACAGTTTACCAGTATGGTGGAAAGATAGTTCTTTTTTTTTTTTTTTTTTTTTTTTGAGACAGAGTCTCGCTTTGTTGCCTAGGCTAGAATGAGTGCCATGGCATCAGCCTAGCTCACAGCAACCTCAAACTCCTGGGCTCAAGCAATCCTCCTGCCTCAGCCTCCCAAGTAGCTGGGACTACAGGCATTCGCCACCATGCCCGGCTAATTTTTTGTATATATTTTTAGTTGGTCAATTAATTTATTTCTATTTTTGGTAGAGACGGGGTCTCGCTCAGGCTGGTTTCGAACTCCTGACCTTGAGCAATCCACCCACCTCGGCCTCCCAAAGTGCTAGGATTACAGGCGTGAGCCACCACGCCGGGCCTGTACAGTTTTGTGCTTAAAAGAAGATAAGTTTTTCTAAAACACTGCAATAAATTGGGCAAAGTATGAAACTAGATACAATAGGGTTCCTTACACATCGAATCTGTCACTGTTAACGCTTGCTGAAGGGTCCCTGATGTTCTTTCTTAGGCAGTAATCGGTCACAGCCGTGACATCTGATCAGATTCCTTGCAGAGCTTATTCACTGGACAGTCAGTATCAAAAAGCCCCTCCAGGGTTTTGTTTTTTTTTTTTTTTTTTTTTTTTTTTTTTGCCACAGGGTCTTGCTCTATTGTCCAGGCTAGAGTGCAACCCCAAACTCCTGGGGTCAAGTGATCCTCCTGCCTCAGCCTCTGGAGGAGCTGGGACTACAGGCGTGCACCAGCACACCAGGCTAATTTTTCTATTTTTTTTAGAGATGGGGAGGGGGGTCTCGCTCTTGCTCAGGCTGGTCTTGAACCCCTGGCCTCAAGCAATCCTGCCTCAGCCACCCAAAGTGCTAGAATTACAGGCATGAGCCACCACCCCCAGCCCCACCTTTCTTCTCCGGATTTACACAATTACATTTCCATCCTAAGCAAAGGACATATAATTACAGAGTTGCAAAAAACGTTTTTCCAAACCCTGACAGAGGTAGGAGGGAAGATAAAAGATATGCAAGAGGCGGGCAGCCTGGGTAAATGGCTCTGACACTGCAGGATTAGGATCCCCAGGGTACCGTGGTGGTTTATTGGAACAGAAGGCAAGCATTGCTCCACAGCCCAAGGGTTCATAAAAGCAAACCAGATATAATTCAACTGACTAATCCGGGGCCACCGTTTGCGTTTCCCTCGTGGCCACTAACAGCAGAAATAAAACGCGGTGGTTTTGGTCTTGGATCAGGGGGCGTGGTTCTCACGAAAACATTCCGGGCCATAAACAGGATTTTATCACATTCACTGACAAATGTTGACACTGACAGGCTTCCCTGACATTCCCAGAGTGTTTGATCTCTTTCCAAGTCACCACCGCCTAGCCCTTCCCCTTTTGACTGCATGCTTATTTGTTTCCCAGGTTCCCCCACCAGACTGTGCGCTCCACAGGGCTGGGCCCCAGGAGGTGCCCCCACCAGGCGCCCTCGCCCAGCCGGGCCCACGGGAGGTGCTTTCCCGCTGCCCCGGCTTCCTCGCCCGGCCCGGCAGCCACAGGGCGCCTGGTTCGTCGGCCCCGCCCCTCAGGGCCTCACTGCCGGGCGCTGGGCGAGAAATACGGCCCCGCGGGGCACACTGCGCCTGCGCACGCTGCGGCCCGCGCCTGCGCATTGCCGGCAGCTCCTCCCCGACCGGACATAACGGTCCGCGCGCGGCTCCTCGAACCGGAAGTGGAGGCGAAGTGTCGCGGGGCGCGCCCGGCCTTGCTCAACGCCCGGCAGTCTCTGCCGTCGCCGCCACCGCCCCCGGCAGCTGCCGAGGCCTCCCGCAGCCGCCATGTCCGCCAGCGCCGTCTACGTGCTGGACCTGAAGGGCAAGGTACCGACGGCTCCCCACCCTCCCCGTTGCCGGGCAACCGGCAGGGGCCTCCCCGCACACACGGGGGACCCACCCTGTTGCTAGGTAACCGGCCAGTGGGCCCCACCCTGGTGTTAGGCAAGAAGGCCGGCCGTCGGGCCCTGCGGGCCCCACCCTGTTGCTAGGTAACCGGGCGGGGGGTCTTCAGTCCGGAAGCCCCGCCCCGTTGCTAGGTGACGCGGTGGGCCGCAGCGCGGGGTTGCCTCGTGCCGGGGACCGGGGCCCAGGCCAGGGCGGGGGACCCGGGGGACCGGCCGCCGCCGGCCGTGGAGCCAGGCTGGGCACCCGGAGGCCGCGCGACCCTTGGCCGGGGGCGGCGAGGCGTGGCGGGCGCGGCGCGCCCTCGAGGGCCCGCCCCGCCTCCTCCGCGTGCGGCAGCTTCCGTTTGCCGTTTTGCACTCTCTGTCCCCAGTAGGAATTTCTTGAGGCGCTTTGTGACTTTGAGTTAGTTTACGGGACTTCGGTGAGGTGGGTGGTGGAAGCGCCATTTTACGGAGGGAGAAACTGAGGCACGGAGCGGCGGAGCAGCCCGCCCAAGGTCACGCTGGTCACGGAGAAGCGGCCGCTCCGGGAGCCCGACCCAGCGTCGTCTGCCCGTTCCGTCGCTGCCCGCTAAGGGCCAGGCAGGGTGCCCAGCCCGGGGCCGCCCGTCTGAGCAAAGCACCGTCCTGTCCTTGGGGAGCTCCCGGGCTGGCCCAGGGGGCGACGGCCACTAGGCTCCAGGGGCGCAGATAAACGTAATTTGCAGCGGCGGACCAGTGAGCGCGTCACGTCACCCGGGGGATGAGAGCCGGCTTCCCCAGAGGCGGGTGACAGGTGGCACCGAGACCTGAGAGAGTGGGACGTGAACTGGGACCCAGACATCCTCCCCCAGGGGTACCTGTGAACACTTAAAAGGAGGGATCCTTTCCAAAGCCTTTCGGGAATGGGCTGCTTCCTCCCCCCCGGGCCGTCCCAGGTGGAAGGCCAGGCACTGTCCGCCTCTCACGGGTGGGAGCCACAAGCACCCGCCCAAGGCGTTAAGCCCCACCTTGCTCAGCGGGAGAAACAGATGGGTGCCGGGTCCCAGGCCAGGCGGGCGGGAGGTCCCTCGGAAGCAGCTGAGGGTGAGGGGGCCAAGTGGCTGCCCCGTCCTGCCCTGCCCTGAGCAGCACTGTCCCCAAGTCCCCTGGGTGGGTGCCTGCCCTGGATGCCACCCAGAGTCAGCCACGGGTGAGCGCCCGTGCTGGGCTGCCTTCCCTGGCCGCCTTGGCAGCAGGGAAGATGCCCGCCCTAGAGCATGCCAGGAGCTGGCAGGGTGCAGCGTTCCCCATGTCCTCGTAGCGTGATTCTTCCGCCCTGGCCACCGCCTCCCCAGAGGCGCCCGCAGGCTGCCTGTCCCAGCTCGCCTGTTCCTTCAGCGAACACCTGAACACCTCTCGGGTGCCCAGCACGAACCCAGTCCTGGGCCGGGCGCAGGGCTTCCACCGGCGCCAGCCGTGCCCATGGAGTCAGACGCTACTGCCCAGCTGTGTGACCTTGGGTGCCTTCTCCTCTCTGAGCCTCGCTTTCCTCTCGGGTGAAAAGAGGCTTTTGTGGGGTTTTTGCTTGGACTCGCCAAGCGGGCGCGTGCGGCAGGCCCCATGTTGCCCACGGCTCCCGGTACACGTTAGCCTCCGTGGGACTCTGGGCCTGGCAGGGGAGTCACACGGAGGCAGAGACGTTTCTCCGCGGCCGGATCCAGGCGGCCGCAGGGGCAGGGGCAAAGCCCACGGGACACAGTTGCCCACCCTCGTCTTGGGCCAGCGGAAGCGGGGGCGGTTACGAAAGGCCCCCTGGCAGACGGGACGCCGGGGCTGGGTTTGGAAGGGGACCGGGTGACGGTCCGTCCAGTGGAAAAGAGGCGTCCCAGTGGGCATGGGGGTGAGGGGCAGCCCCTGGGCCGGCGAGCTGGGGGTCCTGGGCGATGCTGGCGCCCAGACAGTAGGTGTTGAGAATGTCCATGTGGGAGAGGGGACCGGGGGACCACTTCAATTCCAGGAAGGAGGACAGCCTGGGAGAAGCGTGACCAGACCTGCCTCTCGGGAAGCTCCCCAGGGCAGCCGTGGGCTCCCCTCCCGGCAGCGACCACGATGCCCTTTGTCATTCATTCATTCCTTCCCGGCCTCCTGTTCCGGAAGTTTGCCTCCCGAGCACACTGCATTTGATCGCAAATGGGCAACGACGCATCAAGAGACTCGTGTCTGCCAGGCAGCGCCTCGATCACCGAGGAACCCAGCGTGGCCCCATGGAGCTGGTAGAGAGCCCTCCGTGGGCGAGTCTCCTCCGCGGGCGCGTCTCCGCCTCATCCCCCTCGAGTCTCGGCTGCTTCTGATGCCACGAGACCGCTGTCCCCTCGGCACCTCCCTCCTGGGAAGCAGCGGCTCCTCTCCCCCCCACTCCTCTGCTGCCCTCCCCGTGGCTGCCGAGCTGCTGGGGCCCAGGCATGCGTGCCCCTGCCGTCCCTGCCCTTGGCGGGCTTTGGTTCCCGGCAGTGGACCAGCCCCCTCACGTTTGCCCAGAGCACTTGCCTGGAGACTCGCTGGCCCTGGGACACCAGGGAGGTCCCTCAGCCTCCGCACATTCAGCATCCCCCAGACGAGCTCCTTTACCTGCCTTCTCCATCTCAGTGACGCCGCCGTCCATGCAGGGGGCTGCACTGGCCACCTGGGCGGTGCCCTCGCAGCCTCCTCCTCCTCCTCCTGGCCCCGCGTTGCCTGCGCAGATGCTTACCGAGCACCTGCTGTGGGCCGGGCTCTGTCCTGGGCGTTGGGACGCTGCTGTGAACGAGACAGAAGCAGTCGCTGTTCTCGGGGAACGTCAGACTGCAAACGAGGGTCCGCATGTGCGGAGCAGCGGTGACAGGGACAGCGAAGCTAAAGCAGGGTCAGGGTCGACAGGTGGGGTGTGACCTCAGCCAGCGCGGCAGGAAGACTTCCTGGAGGACGTACTGCTGACAGGCTGACGCTTGAGAAATGAGAAGAGCCGGCCCGGCGGTCTCCGCGGAGAACGCAAGTGCCGAGGCCCCGGCTGGGCCCAGCCGTGGGCGGCCCAGGCCCCGGCTAAGGGGCCCGGCGGCGGGAGTGGAGTGAGCCAGCGCGGTGTGGACAGGGGCGTCGGAGCGGCTCTGGGCAGCCAGGCTCCACGGGGCCTTGCGAGCCACCCGGACAGACCCATGCCAGGGGAGGCCGGGGTCGGCGGCGGCTTCAGCGCGGCGGAGGGACCTGATCCGGCTTCTGTGCAGGAAGCTCCAGGCAGAGCCTCTGACTCACCACCTGCCCCTCAGACCTGTCCCACGGGCCACGAGGAAGGTGCTTCTCCCGTTTGTCCCCGGCTTGAAAGAATAAAGACAACGTGTGTAATGAGACGACGGGTCCTCAGGCAGACGGTTCCCAGGACGGTCAGCTCGGCGGTGACGCCTGCCGCTGGCTGTCCTCGTGGGCCCCGAGAGCGTCGGTCGCTGTAGCAGCGTCTCCAGCCATAGCGGTGCCCAGGCTGCCAGAGCTTCCAGCCGCCTTTCAGTGCCCTCGTTGTAATCTACGTGTAATAAACCGCGCTTACTTAAAACGTACAGCACCGTTGGCTGAGATGGGCCCGCGTGTGCCCGGGAGGCCGTGACCGCGTGCCCCAGAGCCTCTCCCGGCCTCTCTGCTGTCCAGCCCCGCGCCCCGGCAGCCCCTGGGCTGCTCCTCGTCGCCATTTCTAGGGTTTCCGTCAGTGCAGAAACGCAGGACGAGCTCTGTTTTGTGTGATTTCTTTCACTCGGCACGGTGACCGAGACGCGTCCGAGTGGCGCTAGCCGAGGAGTGGCGCTGATGGCGCGCGAGGGCCTTGTTAGCACGCTCGCCTGCTGAAGGGCGTTGGCAGTGTAAACTACACGGAAACTACACGTAGCCCGTGTAAACTAAAGCTCCTGCGCACGTCTGCGTGCCAGTCTCCCTGCAGACGCGGGGTTTCCCTTCTCTTGCGTCACCGCCTGAGAGAGGAGTGGCCGCGTCTCACGGCAACTCTGGATTAGCTTTCGGGGAGACTGCTGGACTTCACGAAGCCGTGCTCCCGTCTTACGTTCCCGTCGGCCGCGGACGGGGTCCGGGTGCTGTGCGTCCTCACGAACCCGCGGGCTCTGAGGGAGAGGCCAGGAGGAGGGCTCCCCCTCCTCAGACCGCAGGCGGGTTCCAGCACACGAGACCCCTCAGCAGGGAGTAGGTGCCCCGACACAGGCAGGAGGGCAGGCTGCGTTAGCACGGGCAAGGCTCTGACAAGGTCTGCGTCGAAAGCCTGTGGGGCACTGCTCAACTTGGCCTCGCTGAGCAATTGGGTCCCGGACTCTTGCCCCAGGGCCCCCTCCCACCCGTCCCCTGCAGTGGCCCCCGTGGAAGGTCACTTTGGGAGATGCCCTCCTCCAGGTGGTCCCTGGGAGACGGGTCACGATAGCGTCCGCAGAGGGAGGCGGGCTGGCGCGTCTCACTCCCGGGCGTAGAACTCGGAACGAAAGCGCCTTCCCTCTCCCTGCCCCACGCCAGGTGCTCATCTGCCGGAACTACCGCGGCGACGTGGACATGTCGGAGGTGGAGCACTTCATGCCCATCCTGGTGGAGAAGGAGGAGGAGGGGATGCTGTCGCCCATCCTGGCCCACGGGGGCGTCCGCTTCATGTGGATCAAGCACAACAACCTGTACCGTATCCCTTTGCGGGGCGGCTCCCGGGGACTCCGCGTGTGCACCCTCGCGCTGACGGGCACGGGCGCCTGGCGCGGCCCAGGGCTGGCTGGGGCACAGCGGAGCCACCGGACGCGGCCCTGTCCCCCGGGAGCTCCCTGCTGCCTGAGGAGACGGGCGGAGAACAGGGGGCGTGGGTGGCAGGTACGAGGAGAGGAGAGGTGTGGCGGTACCCCATCTGGCCCGGGGACCCAGGAAGGGGGGAGGAGGGTCCCCCATCCTGGAGGAGACCCTCAGGAAGGCCAGCTGGAGGAGCCGGCGGGCACTAGGCCCAGGGGAAGCATCTGCAGGGAGCGAGGCTTGTTCCAGCAGCTTCAGTGGGGGCAGCTGGAGCCCAGGAGGGGGCTGCGAGGCGGGGTCCTGGGCCTCGAAGGACATCATCCTCAGTGTGATGGGAAGGCTTTGGAGGGTTTTAGGCAAATTTGCATTTTCTGGAAGTTTCTGGCTGCTGAGTAGGGGCCAGACTGTTGGGGACAGGGGTGGACGTGGGGAGGTGGCGGGCGGGCTGGGGCCAGCGTCCAGGTGGGAGGGCACCGGCCTGCCCCCTCCCCCCCACTCGCCTACAAAGAAGGGGTGAGACCGCTCTCCACCCCGCCTGCCCGTGGGCCCGTGGGGAGCCCTGGCCACGCCAGTTCCCATCCACGAGTCTGACTGGCCGCCCACAGCTTTGCTCAGACCTCCAGGCACGCAGCTGCACCACACTACTGCGTACAGGGCCTGGCCTTGCAGCGGACAGCCCCATTCGAGCCCAGCTCCAGCAGCCACGGGACCGGGGGCGCGCCCCTCGCCTTGCCACGGCCCGGCGGGAGCACCGCCGCCCGCTGCAGGCCCGTCCGGCTCAGTCGAGCTCACGCGTGTGCATTGCACGCTGCAGACGTGGGGCCCGCGCCCCTCCCGGGCTCGTGGCGACACTCGGCCTTGCTAGCACAGCACGGCCCGGCCCACCCCACGGGCAGGAGCGGCCCCGCCCGGGAGCCTTTTGGAGATACAGGATCCCAGGTCCCCAGCCCTGCCCCGTCAGCGTCCGCACTGCAGGGGGGTCATTCCTGGTGACTTCTGTGTGCGTCCGCTGTGGGCTGTCTGGCTCCCTGTGGCGCTCCCTGTTTAGACTTCGCTTTCCTCTGGAAGGCCCTGAGGACAGCTCTGAAGGGCGGCACAGGCAGCCTGTGACCCCCAGCCTGGCCCTTCGTCCTAATGCTGGGTGACAATTTCCAGCAAGGCCCTGGCCACGAGGTGGGAGGTGCCCACTACCCTCCTTGTAGAGCACGTGGGGAGGGCACCTGCCCGGTGGGGACGGGAGGCCAGCGCTCCTGGGACCGGGCTGTCGTCATTTCCTGGGCCCCAGTGCTGTGCCAGGGCGAGGCAGGCAGTGAGGCGGAGTGGCCCTGGAGCTTGCTGCTGGGCACACGAGCCAGGTGGCACAGACGTGTCCTGGGCAGGGACGACCAGGGTGCAGTGCGTGACCCTGCAGAGGAGGAGCCGGCCTGCCCCGGTGGCTCCGGGCCTGTTAGGGGGAGAGGGACAGGAGCGCCCGGCACACGCTGACCCGGGAGGCGGGGACTGGCTCCGCTGGCGAGGGGAGGGCCTGAGCCAGGCACCTCGTGTGCGTGACCTTGGTGCGTCCGCCCACAGCAGAGACAAGGGAGGGTTCCCTGAAATGTTTGTGTCAGGGGCCAAGACTCGTGGTACCAAAGCCGGGAGGGGCTAGAGCCGGAATCGGCCCCGACTGGGGAGTGCCGGACCTCAGCAGGGCCACAGGGCGGTCGGCGGTGGAGGGGCAGGGTGGACTGTGCCTGCCGTCCACACCTGGAAGGAGCCCCGCCCCTCCCCCGACTCGGAAGCCCCCCAACCCAGCAGCCGGGACAGGTGCCCGGTGCCACGTGGGATTCTGTGCGATAACTCGCACTCCCTGGGGGTGGGTCCACCTCTGGCTGCTGACCGCCGTGGCCCAGGCCTGGCTCCGACCAGGAGCTTGGCGACCCACGGCAGGCCAAGCAAATGGCTGGGAGTGGGACCGGGGAGGCTCGGAGCCGGGCGTGGGGGTGGGGGTTCCTCCGGGGACCGGGGCCTGCCCAGCGGCAGCCCAGGCGTCTCAAGGCTCCTTAACTGCGGCCGCTGTGCAGTGGTCGCCACGTCCAAGAAGAACGCGTGCGTGTCGCTGGTGTTCTCCTTCCTCTATAAGGTGGTGCAGGTGAGTCCTGTGCGAGGGCCAAGGGGGTGGGCAGGCGGGCGGCAGCTGTCTCGGCTCCGCGTTGGCAGCGCCCTCCCGTGCGTGGCCACCCGAGCCGGAGCCGCGGCATCCTGGGGAGTGCTGGGCCCTCAGCCCCGGGAAGTGGGATGGGCCCCCAGCCCCACCCCCAGCGGTGGGATTCTGTGGCCTTCGTGCTCCCCCACCCTGGTGAGGAGGGAGGCGCACAGGAGAAGGCGGGGCTCAGAGCAGCGTGTGCCCTGAGCGCACGAGGGGCGGGCAGGCCCCCCGCCAGCCGTGGAGGGATTTTGGTGAAAGCCGGGCTTGGAGAGGTGGAATGCCGGCAGGGACGCAGAGCCCAGCTCGGCTCAGCGTCTCCCTGGGGGCTCTCAAGGCACACGCACCCCGGCCTGCCGTGGAGAAGATTGGCACATGCCAGCCCAGGCTGATGGTGAGGTGGGGTGCCAGCAGCAGGCGCAAAGGCCCTGGGGCAGGAGTGTGCGTGGGGCAGTCAGGGAACACAGGGAGGCTAGCGTGGTGGCTCGCGGGGCTGGACCGTGGGGCTGTGGGCGTTGGATTTCATCCCACGTCTGGGGAGTGTCGCAGAGGGCTGTGCGCAGGGCACTGAAAAGCCCAGGTTTGACTTAAAGTGACCTTCCTGGCTGCTGAGTAGAGGAAGAGCCTGCAGGCAGCGAGGAGGCTGCTGCAGGCTTCCAGCAGCGCCGGTGGGGGCCTGGCCAGGTGGGGCCAGGGCTGAAGAAAGCTGGGAGTGGGGTCCCGGGGGGCGGGGGGACGAGGAGAGCTTCCATCCCTCAGGTGGCGCTGTCCGCACAGAATGTCGGGCACAGGGTCTGGAGAGCCGCGCATCTGCCGTGCGGCCCGCAGGCTGGCCATCACTCTGGGCAGTGGTGCCATCCCAGGCCGGCCGCGCCTGGCTCTGCTGCCCGTGATTTCCAAGCAGAGCCCTGGGCGACTGCAGCCCTGGCGTGCCCAGGGCGCCAGCAGAGCAGGGCGCACGGGGACGTGGGCAGGGGCAGGTTCTCTGCCCCCAGTGCTGGGCGTTTCTTTTCTGCTTTACGACCTTCCTCCCGTCGGTGTTAGTGCTGACCAAAGAGCTTCTGCTGGGCGGGCACGGTGGCCCACACTGTGATCCTAGCTACTCGGGACACCAAGACCAACCTGAGCAGCCAAGCATGATGCTCACACCTGTAATGCTAGCACTTTGGGAGGCTGAGGTGGGAGGATCGCTTGAGGTCAGGAGTTTGAGAGCAGCCTCAGCAAGAGCCAGACCAGCCTGAGCAAAAGCGAGACCTCGTCTCTACTAAAAATAGAAAGAAATCAGCTGGCCGGGCGCTGTGGCTCACGCCTGTAATCCTAGCTCTTGGGAGGCCGAGGCGGGCGGATTGCTCAAGGTCAGGAGTTCAAAACCAGCCTGAGCAAGAGCGAGACCCCGTCTCTACTATAAATAGAAAGAAATTAATTGGCCAACTGATATATATATATATAGAAAAAAAATTAGCCGGGCATGGTGGCACATGCCTGTAGTCCCAGCTACCCGGGAGGCTGAGGCAGAAGGATCACTCGAGCCCAGGAGTTTGAGGTTGCTGTGAGCTAGGACGCCACGGCACTCACTCTAGCCTGGGCAACAAAGCGAGACTCTGTCTCAAAAAAAAAAAAAAGAAATCAGCTGGACAATTGAAAAATATTAGCCAATCATGGTAGCTCCAGCTACTCAGGAGGCTGAGGCAGGAGGATAACACCATGGCACATCTAGCCCAGGTGACAAAGCAAGACTGTCTCAAAAAAAAAAAAAAAAAAAAATATATATATTTAAAAAAGATACTCAATTTCAGACCCTATCTCTAAAAAATTATTTAAACTAACCAGGTGTGGTGGTGCACACCTGCAGTCCCAGCTACTCAGGAGGCTGAGGCAGGAGGATCGCTTGAACCTAGGAGTTCAAGGCTGCAGTGAGCTACGATTATGCCATTGCACTCCAGCCTGGGTGACAGAGTGAGACCCATCTCTAAAAAGTAGAGGAAAAAAATTAACAACAACAAAAAAGAGAGCATCTAACAAGCCCCTCTCCTTTGGCGTCTCTGCTTTAACCCTCTGAGCTTCACGTTGAGACGGGGCAGACACGTGCGCCCGAGTCGCTGTGCAGCCCGGCGGCTCACCGAGGCCCAGGTGGCTCTCGGCGCTCACCTGCATCCCTGCTGACCCAGAGGCAGGGCTGACTGTTACAGCCAGGATGGGAGGGAGGCTGGGGGGCCGCAGCCCTGGCAGGAGGAGAAGAGAGCTGGGCCGGGACACGGTGCTTCTGAGCAGGCTGTGGCCGCCACCGCAGGCGCAGCCCGCCACCGCCCTCCTCCCGCCCGCACTCCCGGCCCTGTAGCACGCCGTCCGTTCTCTTCTCCATCCCAACGACCCCTGCCTCCAACTCCGCAGGTGTTTTCCGAGTACTTCAAGGAGCTGGAGGAAGAGAGCATCCGGGACAACTTTGTCATCATCTACGAGCTGCTGGACGAGCTCATGGACTTCGGCTACCCCCAGACCACCGACAGCAAGATCCTGCAGGAGTGAGTGGGCAGCGCGGGGCCCCGGGCCGGGCCTGGGCGGTGGCAGGTTGCTGACGCCATCGGGTTTGGGGAACGGGAGAAGCCGGTGTTGTCTCCCGTCCGCCCTCCCGTCTCCCGCCCTGCACGGGCTTTCACCGAGTTGCCCTCAGTGGTTCGGGGGCCTGTTCTCACCCGACGTCCCTTTACAGCAGGTGTGCTTCCCGGTTGCGGGTCCTTATTTCCCACCCACGGAGATGCACCAAATCCCTTGCTGTTAGGGAGTCGCCTGCCCGGGTTTTTATTGTCGTACATGAGTTGGCAAGGAAAATCTTCCTCCATTGGAGTCACAGGACCGAGCGCGTCCCGGCGCCAGGCCCTGCACGGCGCACTTGGTGGCTCGCAGCCTCCCCACGCGGCCTGTTCCCACGCGGCCAGTCCCCACCGTGCACGGGGAGCCAGCGGGCGCGCGGAGAAGCCCATGTTCCCAGCCACGGCGCCCCCAAGTGGGATCGGGGTCGCCAGGTTGCCCTCGCAGGGCTCAGTCCCACCTGCACGTCCAGCAGGCACGGGGACAGCTGGCCCCCGCCTGTTTTCCTCCCCAGCACTATCTCCTTGGCCCCCCCAAAACGAATGCTCCAGGGCCATTGTAACCTGAGTCTGCTGGGTTTCGGAGATTGTTAGGGTTTTCTGGTATTAAGCAGCCCCGGGGGACCACGGGCTGCCCTTTCCGGGCGTGGTGAAACCGAGGGCCCGTTTGCGAGTCAGCCGGCCCTGGCCCCGCTGCAGCCCTGCCGCGCTGTCGGGGCCCGAAGCCGGGGTGTTGGTGCAGGGGCCCCTCCCTGACGCTGGCTGTGTGGCCCCAAAGGTACATCACGCAGGAAGGCCACAAGCTGGAAACGGGGGCCCCGCGGCCCCCGGCCACCGTCACCAACGCAGTGTCTTGGCGGTCCGAAGGCATCAAGTACCGGAAGAATGAGGTGTTCTTGGACGTCATCGAGTCTGTCAACCTCTTGGTAGGCTTCCTTCCTTTCCCTCTGTCTACACCGTGTCTCCTCCATGGCAGAAACAAACACAAGTTATATTTTAAAGCCAGCAAAGCCCTGAGAACCGTGCAGGGTCCGTGTGGCAGCAGATCAGGGTTCAGTCTAGGCCACACGGCGAAACCTGATATGGCGAAAACCTTGTTTTATCTTCATTAGCTTTGGTTCCGATTTAGAATTGATACATGAAGTTTGTTTTGTGTTTTTTGTTGGTTTTTTTTGAGACAGAGTCTCGCTTCGTTGCCCAGGCTAGAGTGAGTGCCGTGGCGTCAGCCTCGCTCACAGCAACCTCAAAACTCCTGGGCTCGAGCGATCCTCCTGCCTCAGCCTCCCGAGTAGCTGGGACTACAGGCACGCGTCGCCATGCCCGGCTCATTTTTTTGTATATATATTTTTAGTTAGCCAATTAATTTCTTTCTATTTTTAGTAGAGACGGGGTCTTGCTTAGGCTGATTTCAAACTCCTGACCTCGAGCAATCCGCCCACCATAACCTCCCAGAGTGCTAGGATTACAGGCGTGAACCACCATGCCCGGCCATGAACGTTGTTTTTTTTTTCTTTTAAAAAGCAGTACGTCAAGCTAGGAAGCGAAGCGCTCCTGTAACGAGGAAGCCCGCCCTGTTGGGCCGGGGCAGCCTCAGCCCCGGCCTCCCTCACATACGCAACAGCTCCTGAGATGGGGCTCCCCTGCAGCCTGGCTCCGTTTTGTTTTGTTTTGTTTTGTTTTTTGGGTTTGGTTTCTTTGTTTTGTTTTACTGTTTTGTGTTATGTTTAGGTTTTTTCCTTAATTTTAGTTAAGCCATGAGTGAAGTTGGCCTTTTTGGAACGAATGGTGCTGCTTGTACACATCTGTGTACCCGTCCCTGCGGCCGGGACGCAGGACCCCAGAGCCGCCTCGTGCCGCCCTCTGTCGTCCTGCCCCCGCCCTGCCCCACGCCCTGGCCTCCACCGGGCTGTCCGCCATCGCCGCAGTTCCCGTCTCTTTGGGGCTGTCGTGTGAGTGGCTAGGCGCGGCCCCGTCGCTGTCGCTTTGAGACTGCCATGCGAGCGGCATCTACAGCCCCGGCCTCTGGAGTCTGCCTCCTCTCACGAAGGCCACGCCTTGAGGTCCCGCCAGCGCTGGTTACGTGTGTCGGAAGTTTGTCTCCGTTTGTACTTACTTAGGTTTATTTGTATGTTCTGAGCCACCGGCTGTTCATCCGCTCACCCGTCCAGGGACGTCCGGGTTGTGTTCCGACTTGTGGCCGTTGTGACTAGGGTTGCTGGAAACGTTCCGTGCACAGGTTTCTGTGTGGGCTAGGCTTTCATTTCTCTAGGGCAAATACCCAGGAGTGGGGTGGCTGGGTCACGCGGTAAGCGTGTGTTTGACTCACGGGAAACTGCCGGACCGTCGCCACTTTGCACCCGCCCGCAGCGGAGGGGAGTTCCCGCTGCCCCGCGTGCTTGGCCCGAGCTCCTGTGTCTGCCAGCCCCCGCGGGTGTGCTGCAGCGTCTCGGCGCCGTCCGCGTCGGCATCGCCCTGACGGCTGATGGCGTCGAACATCTTCTTATTAACATGTGTTTCTTCGTCATCTGTATATCTTCTTTGAAGAAGTGTCCCTTTGTGTCTTTTGAGCATTTTTAAATCGGGTTGTTTGTTTTCACACAGTTGAACTTTGAAAGTGCTTTCAAAGTTATACCCAGAAAGTGTGTTCTGGGTATAAGTCCTTTGTCAGATTTGTGATTTGCAAATATTTTCTCTCAGTCTGTGGCTTGTCTTTTTATTCTATTTAGCAGTGCCTTTCAAAGAGCAGGGGTTTTTAATTTTGATGAATTCCAATCATCAACTATTTTTTATCGGTTGTGCTTTTAGTGCTACGTCCGAGAAGTCATTGCCAAACCGAAGGTCATACAGACCTAAGTTTTCTTCTAAAAGCTTTATATTGATAGTTTCACATTTTGATCTATGGTCAATTCTGAGTTAAATTTTATATACAGTGTGAGGTTTGTATCCAAGTTAATTGTTTTTTGTGCACAAAATAATTTTTTGCAATTGTTCCAACACCATTTTTAGAGAAGACTGCCCTTTCTCCATTGAATTGCTTCTGTACTTTGGTCAAAAGCAAATTGGCCGTATCTGTGTGGGTCTGTTCAGGACTCTGCTCTGCTCCATGTCTGTGCCTTTGCCAATACCACGCTGTCTTCGTTGCTGTGACTTTGTAGTCAGTCTGAAAATCAGATCGTATGATTCTTCCAACATTCTTTCTTAAAATTGTTTTAGCTATTCTAGTTCCTTAGAATTTTAGAATCAGCTTGTCTAGATCTACAAAAATCCCGCTAGGACTTTTTCCTGGTATTGTGTTAAAACTCTATAGCTCAGCTTGGGGAGAATTGGTATTTTTACCATATTAAGTGTCCCAATCTATGAACACCATGAACGTGTGTGTGTGTCTATATATATATATAGACACACAGAGAGACATACACACTATATAGATATATATATATGAATACATATGATATATAAGTATTTCTCCTTTTTTTGAAGCTGTTATAAATTGTATATTTTTAAATTTCAGTTTCCAATTGGACATCACTAGGGGATAGAAATAAGATTGATATTTGTGTGTTGACCTGGTATCCTGCAATCTTGCTAAACTCACTTCCTCTGGAAGTATTTTTTAAATTCGGTGTGACTTTGTACCATAGATGTATTGTCTGCAAATACAGACAGTTTATTTCTTCCCTTTCGATCTTTATGCCTTTTATCTCTTTTCCTTGACTTGTTGCCGCACTAAGACTTCCAGTACAATGTTGGATACAAGTGGTGAGAGTGGACATTCTTGCATTGTTCCTGATCTTCAAGTAGGATGTCAGCTGTAGGTGTATTGTAGATGTCCTTTTTCGCATTGAGGAAGTTCCCTTTTATTGCTAGTCTGATGAAAGTTTTTTTTATTATGAATGCTGTTGTACTTTGCTAAATGCTTTTTCATCTGTTAAATGCATCAGTTGAGGTGATCGCATGGGATTTCTTCTTGAGACTGTTAATGTGGTGGATTCCACTGACTGCTTTCTGATTATTGAACCAGCCTTGCATTCCTGGAATAAACTCCAGTGGGCCCCAGTGTATTACAGGTTGAATATCCCTTATACGAATGCTTGTGACCAAAAGTGTTTTAGAGTTTGGATTTTTTTAGACTTTGGAATATTTACATATACATAATGAGATATCTTGGGAATGGGACCCAAGTCTAAACACAAAATTCATTTATGTTTTTGTGTATACCTTACACACATAGCCTGAAGGTAAATTAGAAGGTAATTTTATTTTTACCTTAGGGATGCTGAATGAACTGCGTGTTGTGCGCTTGCATTTTGACTGCGACCTGTCACATGAGGTCAGGTGTGGAATTTCCTACTTGTGGGGACAGGTCAGTGCTTAGAAAGTTTTGGTCAGACTTTGGATTAGGGATGCTTAATCTACATTCTTTTTATGTATCGTTGGGTTTCATTTGCTAATATTTTATTGGAGATTTTTGGATCTATATTCATATTGATCTGCTATTTTTCTCTTTTTCATTATATTTTTGTCTGGTTTTGGCATCAAGGTAATGGAGTCCTCATAAAATGAATTAGGAAGTATTCACTTCCTCTTCTGTTTTCTGGAAGGCATTATATAGAATTGACGTTAATGCTTTAAACATTTGTTAGAATTCACCAATGAAACTATCTGAGCCTGGAGATTTATTTTTTCAGAATGTTTGTAACTCGGGATTTCAAATTTTTGAATTACTTAGGTTTTCTGTTTCATCTTGGGTGAGTTTTGGTAGTTTGTTGTTTTGAAGAAATTGGTCCATTTTATGTAAGTTGTTGAGTTTGTATGCATAGTGTTGCTTATAGTATTTCCTTACTATCTTTTTAATGTCTATAGTGATATATCTTCTCTTTCATTCCTGATATGAGTTACTGGTGTCTTGTCTCTTTTTTCTTTGTCATTCTTTTTGGTTTATTTATTTTATTGATTTTTACAAAGAATTGATTTTTTTATTTCATTGATTTTTCTTTGTTATTTTTTGGTTTTCAATTTCATTGATTTCTGCTCTTATCTCTAGTATTTCCTTCCCTTTGACTTGGGTTTATTTTGCTCTTCTCTTTCCAGTTTTCTTAGATAAAGCTGAAGATAACTGATTTGAAACCTTTCTTCTTTTCTGATGTAAACCCTTCACGCTATAAAGGGTCTCGGTCTATGTACTGGAAGCTAACGCATCCCACAACTGGCCTGTTGGATTTTCATTTTTATTCAGACTATCTTTGCCAGATAATCCCAGCATCTGTTAAATTATTCTCCTTTGCAAGTTGACGTTTTCTTGGTCCTTCATATGCTGAGTGATTTTGGATTACATCCTAGCATACTGGAGTATCGTGTGATAAGATTCTAGGTCCTATTAAGGTGTTTGGAAAACACTGACATTTTTGCTTTAACCAGCAGTGCGTCTGGTGAGGTTCAGGCCGCAGGTTCCAGTGCTCAAGCTGCGGGCCGTGCGGGCGGTTCTCAAAGCGTGTGTGCCACCCGCGGCTCAAGTCTGTCCGGGCGTGCGCCGCCCGGGGGTCAGTCTGGAAGCCGAGCCGGGCGGTGAGTGCAGTTCTCGGAGTCCTGGGCAAGTCAGGGTGCGGCATGAGGGCCAGATTCGCACGCGCACGATTCTGGAGCTCCGGAAACACAGCGACTCCGTGGGGTGGCGTTCCTGGGCTCCCTCCTCGTTGCTCACTGGCTGGACTGTCCTGTCCTCTGGGCCTCCCTGGGTCCTGTGGCCACAGACCTGGGGCTCTGGGTCCCCACTCTGCCGGGCCGCCTGCCCTGGGCGCGTTCCCGCCAGTGCAGGGAGGATAGAGAGGAGAGAGCAACAGGTTGCCCCGCCCTGTCGGGACAGAGCCAGCACCACGGGGCGGGGGTGTGATGGAACAGAGAGGGGTGCTGTGGGGCACTCTGTTCCTTCTGAGTGCCAGGAGTTCCCCTTCCTACCCTCCAGCCCAGCGAGGGTCTCCCTGAGCTCCGTCTGCTCCACGGCGCCCACTCCACTCCAGGCTCCCGCTGCGCTGTCCTGTCTGCGGGGCCAGTGGGGTCAGGGAGGGCCGTGTCCCGGGCGTGGGACCTCGAGAGAGTGGTCCCCACGGAGTCTCGCGTGCGCCAGTGCGAGCCTGCGCTGTCTTCCCTTGTGAGCCGCGGGCGAGGCGGTGCCCTTGCTACCACGTCCCTCCCGCCTGGGGCCTCCGGCCTGTGCGCCGGGCCCAGGGCACGCTCTGCCTGGCTCCAGGGTGCTGGGCAGGGGCAAACCGCAGGGAGCTCGCCAAGCCCCGGGAACGTGGGTGCCCACCACCGCCCGCGCGGCTCACGGCCCTGCCCAGGGGGCCCCGCTCCTCCACAGGGCTCAGCGCGAGGCGGTGCTAGAACCCCGCCCTCCCTCCCTGAGATGGTGGCCGAGTCGGCATCTGCCCCCAGGGTCGGCAGTCTGGACGGACGACGTGCTCGCGCAGCCCATCCTCCCCAGACATCCCTTCGCACCCGCCCGGGGAGGGCGCGCCCTCGGGTGGCCTGGGCAGGCCTCAGCTGCGAAGGCCCCTTGTCCTGGTCGCTGCCTGCCAGGCCGAGACCAGCCTCGTGGGCTGGCGGCCTTCCGCTCCGCTGCCTGGCCCTCCTGCGCGGCGTCTGCGACCTCACGTGTCAGGCGCAGAGTGCCACCGGGCAGTCCCGCCCCAGAAAAGGGGAGCTGGGGGCGACACGGCCGGGGTGCGCTGAGGGCCCTGGAGCAAGACAGCGACATCCGGCACTCAGGAGCCCGGGCTGGCAAGGGCCCAACGCTGCGCGCAGACGCCGCTCGGCGCGGACGCGGCAGTGCCAGCCCCACGGCCCCGCCGGGGCAGGCGCAGGGACAGACGGACACACGGACACACGGGGCTGGCTGCGAACGCTGTGCCCGTGCGGGGCCACCTGCTGGTGGAGTGGGCGAGGGGCAGGGACAGGACGGGGGGACAGCATAGCCAGACGCCACAGCGCCTCGCCCAGTCCCGTGTCTGTCTCAGGGCTGTCACTCGCTTGGCACCTCAGTTTCCCCTCAGAGGCACCAAACTGGCGAAGGGCTTCTGTCTGTCCACGTGGTGATTCCGGACACTGGCGTGAAAGACCGGACAGATCTGCCTAATTCTCGGCATGCAGGAAACGCGGGCCCTCCACCGCGGTGGCCCGGCTGGAGCCGGCGTCTGGCCCCCCGCTGGCGTCCGAGTTGGGGAGCCTTGGCTCGCTTGCCGGCGTGGACGTGGCCTCCCCTCTGTGCCTGTTTCCTCATCTCTAAAATGGGCACGAGGAGAGGGGCTGCAGCATCTTGGCTCACCCAGGGCGGGCTGGGAGGAGCGGGCCCATGGCCCTGGTGTGACTTGCTGAGTTGCACTTCCTGGTGCGCTCCGGTTTGCGCAGTGGGTCGTAGTCCCCGAGGTCATCCGCAGCCCCACAGGTGTCAAAGCAGGGGTGTGGCAGCGCCTGGCACAGAGGAAATGCTCCGTGCGCTCAGCCCTGTGGCTGATTTGTTCTGGTTTATTGCTAGTTTGGGTGGAGGGTTCTCAGGCTTCAGGGCAGGGAGGAAGCAGGGAGGGCCGGGCCCAGGAAGCTCCACCTTTGACAGTCCCTGGGGGAGGGGAGACCAGTGGCCTCCCCTAGAGGCCAAGAGGAGAAACAGAGTTCAAGAAAAGTAAGTGTGGCCTGGTCCGAGAGAGCCGGGGTCAGCCCATCAGGTGAGCAGGGACTGGCCGAGGGCCACGAGCACAGGGACCGGCGCCAGGTGTCCCGGCGGGAGGGCACCGTGCACGAGACGCTCTCAGAGGGACTCTGGGCACTGCTGCCCTGCCCGGCCCCAGTGTGGGCCGCGGCCCGGAGGGCGGACCCGCAGCATCCACCACGGTGTCCAGGGGCCCTGGTGCGCAGGCCGGATGGGGGCAGGTGGGCCTGGGCCCCTCCGCCAGGTGTGTGCTGGGGGAGAGCGGGGCTCCCGCAGCTGGGGCTGCTCAGGACGGGCAGGCGCTTGGAGGCGAGAAGGGCAGTGAGATCGGGCGGCTGCGGGGCACGGCGGGCGGTGGCTGGGAGTCGGGGCCTCCCTCACGCCGCTGCTGCTCCCAGGTCAGCGCCAACGGCAACGTCCTGCGCAGCGAGATCGTGGGCTCCATCAAGATGCGCGTCTTCCTCTCGGGCATGCCCGAGCTGCGCCTGGGCCTCAACGACAAGGTGCTCTTCGACAACACGGGCCGTGAGTACCCCCGGCCGCGGCCGGGCCCCGCGAGGACGGCTCTGCCGGGCACACGGATCAGAGCCCAGGGGCTTGCTGGCCATGGGCACTCGGGCTGGGAACATCTCGCATGGCCTTGCAGACGGCTGCGACAGCTGACCCCGGGTGCAGGAGGCCCAGGAGCGAGAAACCCAGTCAGGCCCCGGGGTGCCCCCCCCAGACCTCACAGAGTGTCACAGAGCGGTCCTCCACGCGCCCTGTGCTGCCTTCCGGGTCTCAGGGCTGGACTCGTTCTCTGGCCCCTCCAGGGCCAAGTTCCCCCCTCCCCTCGGCCCTGCGTCCGCGAGGTCTGATTCCCAGCACGGCCGTCTGGGCTGGCGCCGCCCAGCTGGCAGCACTTCTCGAGGCAGGGCGGGGGCAGCGTGGGCTCGGGGTCCTGGCCCAGGGCTCAGTGGCCCGGGGGTGCCCACACGCCTGGCCCAGCGTGGGCTTCTCGGGACGAGCCCGTCGGGGCAGCTCCCCACCCAGAGACCCAACCTCACAGCCCCTCGGTGGGGTGGGAAGCAGAGACAGGACCCAGGACCCGAGGGGTGCCAGGGCTGGGCCCTCGGGGAGCCCCAAGCCACCCCCCACTAAGTCTTGCTCTTGAGCAGCACCCCAGCCGGGTCCGAGGCTCCCAGCTGGGACTCCGTGTGAGCCCTGCAGACCAGCTCTGCTTCCGGGGGGCGGGGGTCGAGGGGTGACCAGCCATTGTCAGGAGCCCAGCCCCCTTGGCGTTTGCGGCCCAGGTCGCCCTCACAGTGGGGCCGGGGGCCGTGCCCTGCTGGGCAGGGGAGAGGGTGACCTGGAGGGCGCAGGGTCTGTCCTGCCCTCACCAGGCGGCAAGAGCAAGTCCGTGGAGCTGGAGGACGTGAAATTCCACCAGTGTGTGCGGCTTTCGCGCTTCGAGAATGACCGCACCATCTCCTTCATCCCCCCCGACGGCGAGTTCGAGCTCATGTCCTACCGGCTCAACACCCACGTGCGTACGCAGACCCCGGCGGGCACGGGGGGGGGGCAGCCTGTCCAGACTCCACGGGGGACGGGACCAGGCGGGCTCTCCAGCTGGGCCCAGTGTGTTCCCGTCTGCACGGACACAGAGGCTCTCGGCAGCTCCCCGCGGCTCCCGTCTCTGCGCCCCGCCCGTCCTCGCGCCGGCTGCGAGCCCCTCTGGGCCAGGCAGCAGTGTGCCGGGCCGCACCTGGGCAGAGGGCACCTGGGCAGAGGGCCCTTGCCCTGGGCCTCGGGGTCCCCTCTGGGAAACAGCTCTGTGAAACGCAGCCGGGTGCAGGCGCCATCCTCAACCCCCTCCCCCGCAGGTCAAGCCCTTGATCTGGATCGAGTCGGTGATTGAGAAGCACTCGCACAGCCGCATCGAGTACATGATCAAGGTACGTGGCCGGGGGCTGGGCAGCGTGGGGGTGTGGACGGCCCGCCCCCGCCAAGGGCATCCCGGTGTCTCGGGCCCTTTCTCGGCCTTTGGCAGGGGGTCCAGACCGGGGCTGGGGTGCCGTGGGCCGGGCACTGAGAGGAGACCCCCCCAGGGCCTGCCCTGCGATGGTGCTGCCTCCCCCGGCCAGGAGGGCTTCCCAGAAGTGCCGCCCACCAGTCTGACCCAGGCTGGCCTTGGGGACACAGATGCCGTCCTGGGCTGCGGCTGGGCCTCAGGGAGGGATGGGGAGCCTGGGGCGGAGGGACGGGTGGGGGCGAGACTGAACTTCCGGGATCAGGAGCTGGGAGAGTCTTGGGGACTGAGGGGCCGTGTCTGGAGAAGCAGGGGTCAGGCGGCGGGGCTGGGGGCGCGTGGGCCAGGCTGAGGGTCGCGTGGCCCAGGCGGGGAGTGTCTCACCGTCGCCCTCCAAACCCGCCTGCAGGCCAAGAGCCAGTTCAAGCGGCGGTCGACGGCCAACAACGTGGAGATCCACATCCCAGTGCCCAACGACGCCGACTCGCCCAAGTTCAAGACGACGGTGGGCAGCGTCAAGTGGGTCCCCGAGAACAGCGAGATCGTGTGGTCCATCAAGTCCTTCCCGGTGAGCACCGTGCTCGGCGGGGCACCCCTCCAGGCAGCCACCCGCCCCACGCGCCCCTGTCCCTGCCCATGTGGGCAAGGCGGTCCCCTGCGCCCCTAGATGGGGTGACGGTCCGCATCGTGTTCCACGCCTGGGCTTCTGGGCGGGTGGGCGGAGGGCCCAGGGCCAGGCTGGGCTGGAGGGGAAGGGGGGGCAGAGTCTGGTGGCCCCTCTGCACCCTCCTCTTGTCGGGACCTGCCTCCCACGCTTCCCAGCACTGCCTGCTGTCCCCCCAACCCACGGTGAGGGACCCCACCCCGCCCCGACACCGGCAGGCGCACACCGTCCCCCGACTGAGGGCTCATCCGGTCCTGCCCACGGTGGGCTCGGGCTCGAGGGGCGCAGGCCGCCTTGAGGGGAGCGCAGCGCCGCTCCCGGGACCTGGCACCAGCCCCAGGAAAGCGGTCTCGCTTCCCCTGCCGGCACTGGGTGCAGGCGTGGCTGCGGCGTGGCCTCGGGCAGTGCAGGAAGGTTCTGGGGACTGGAGTCCGCGTGTGTGCGACCCAGGGTGCCCAGAGAGGCGGGGCCTGGCGCTGGCGTTCCGTCTCACAGAGCTGGAACCGAGGCGCAGCGCCACTCTGGTGTCCTCGTCACTCAGCGTCTCCGCACGAGAAGCGACCCCTCTGGCCGCTGTCTCAGCTGCCAGCTCTGGCGGCCACGGAGGGCGGCAGTGTCCCGGATCGTCAGACTGTCCTCTTCCCTCTCGAGGCCACTGGTTAAAATAGCGTTCGTATTTCGAAACACAGTGGAGAGCAAGCCGCAGAGTGAACGGCGTGGCCAGCGGTGTGCGGGGAGGGGGGACAGGGCCACGCCAGCCAGCGTGGCTGCAGCTTGCTGTAGGGTTGAGTTGGAACCCTGCTGGCGCGCCTTGTCTTTCCGGGCCTCACGGGCGCTGCGTGTCCGCAACCGAAGGTCTGTGCGACCCTGCGACTGGCGGTTCCATCAGAGCCGTGTCGCCGACCCTGCGACTGGCGGTTCCGTCAGAGCCGTGTCGCCGACCCTGCGACTGGCGGTTCCGTCAGAGCCGTGTCGCCGACCCTGCGACTGGCGGTTCCGTCAGAGCCGTGTCGCCCACAGCACGGGCCGCGTCCTGCCTCCGCGTCAGCGCTGACTGTTGTAGCAGTGAAGTGTCTTTGATCAGGCACGCGCACTGGTTTTCCGGACGTGGCGCTCGTGCGCGCTTCGCGGACGGCAGTGCCGTGTGCCTGGGAGACCAGAACGTGCGTGTGACTCGCTTCAGTGCGCGCTGGCTCTGTCGCGGCGGTCTGGGGCCAGACCTGCAGCGTCTCCGAGGGATGCCCCCACGTGCTTTCCGCGAACAGAAAACAGAGTTAGGGAAAAAGGCAATTCCTGAGAATCAAAGCAGGATGGACTGGCCGGGGCGGCCAGGCGGTGACGACCGCGCAGGGCGGAGCCGCCGCCCCTGTCCTGTGTGTCTGCGCCTCTGCCGCGCCGTTCCAGCGCTGCAGCTTCCTCGTGAAGCTTGAGATCAGGAAGCGTGGGTCCTCCAGCTTCGCCCTTCTTTTTCAAGATCGCTTGGCCGTTCGACTCCTCGCCCTCCTTGCGGCTGCGTGCTGTTCCGTGGGGCCGTTTATGCAGCCTGCGGTCAGCCACGCCCACGGCAGGGCGCCAGGCTGTTGGTGACCTCGAGCTCTGGAGAGGACAGCCGGTGACTGGCCTGGGCCGGGCGTGCTCGGCGGCCTTGGTCGTGTGGGTTCCGGGAGTGGGATTGTTGGGTCAGAGGTTGCACGGAGCTGAGATTGTCCTGGATCGTGCCAAATCCCTCTTTCCGCAGCCCCCTGGCGCCACCTCTGGAGCTTCCCCGGCCGGGTCGCAGGGGAGCTCTCAGCAGTCTCGGACCGGAGAGCAGAGGCCGGTAGCTCCGTGCCGCTCTGCCCTGCTGTTCTCCTGTTAGAAACCAGACGGAGCCGCTTTTCTTGTCTCTCACGGCTATGCGCCTTTCTTTTCCTGGAAACCGTAGCTTGTCTCTTGCTCATCTTTTCTGTCGGGTTTGGTCACTTCCTTCTCAGTTTCCAAGAGCCCCTCGTATACGGGCAAGATCGAAGATGGGCACTTTGTCTTCCGTGTAGGTTCCGAGTCGTTTTCCCCAGTTTGGTGTTTGTCTTTTGACTTGACTTCCGGTGTTTGGGGCTGCGTAACCTCTCTGCGATTGCTGCTTTGTTTTGTCGTGGATGTCAGTTACTGTAGTCAGATTTCCCAGCCTTTTCCTCACGTTGTGCCTGGATCTGAAGTGAGACTTTGAAAGGCTTCCCCACCCCCAGTGATAAAGGGGTTCACCATGGGCAAATTTGCTTCTAGAACCTGGGCAGTGGCATTTTTCTCCTTAGATTTCAGGTCCTTTTTGAGTGTGGTCTGGTAGCTGGGAGGAGGTACAGATCGTTTTTTCTTTCTCCAAATGACCATCCAGTCACCTAGTATTTACCAAAAGGTCCATCTCTTCCCCAGTGGTTTGAGAAGCTGCGTTTATCAAGCATCACATTTTCACTGGCATTAGGTCCATTTCCGAACTTCCTCTCGTCTGTCTGTCCAGGCAGCAAGACCACGTTGTAACTAGAGGCTTTGTTCTGGTTTTGTATCTGCCGGGCCCCACGCCCCCCCCTCACTGCCCCCACACCCATGGCTCTTCTCTCTCCTGGTTTTCCTGGTGATTCTGGTTTGTTTCATTTCCCTTACGAACTTTTCTGTTTGAGACAAGAGTCTCACGGTGTCGCCCTGCATAGAGTGCAGTAGCGTCATTGTAGCTCACAGCAACCTCAGACTCCTGGGCTCAAGTGATCCTCCTGCCTCAGCCTCCCGAGTAGCTGGGACTACAGGTGCGCACCGCCATGGGTCAGAGGTTGCACAGAGCTGAGATTGTCCTGGATCGTGCCAAATCCTCTCTTTCCGCAGCCCCCTGGTGCCACCTCCCGAGCTTCCCCGGCCGGGTCGCAGGAGAGCTCTCAGCCGTCTCGGACCGGAGAGCAGAGGCCGGTAGCAGAGGCGCACCACCGGCTAATTTTCTATTTTTCGGCTTCCCAGAGTACTAGGATTACAGGAGTAAGCCACCATGCCCTGCTTCCTTATGAACTTTAGACTTCATATGTCTGCACAGAATTTATAAGTTAATTGGGAAAAAGTAATACCTTTACGGGCCAAGCACAGAGGCTCACACTGATAATCATAGCAATTTGGGAGGCAGAGGCAGGAGGATCACTTGAGGCCAGGAGTTGGAGACCAGCCTGGGCAACGTAGCAAGATGCTGTCTCTACGAAAATAGAAAAATTAGCAGCATGGTGGTGCGCACCTGTAGTCCCAGCTACTGAGGAGGCTGAGGCAGGAGGATCGCTTGAGCCCAGGAGTTTGAGGCTGCAGTGAGCTGTGATGATGCCACTGCACTCCAGCCCAGGCGACAGAGCGAGACCTTGTCTCAAAAAAATAAAATTTAAAAAAAAAAATACCTTTATGATGCTGAGTTGTCCTATCCACTAGCCTGTCCTAGCTCACGCTCGTGCCTTTTGGGGATGTTTTAATGTTTGCCTTATTTATATACCGCGTATGGGGCTTCCCACAGTTGTGAAAAGCACTTTTCCGGAAGGGTGAGCTGCCTGCGTACACGCAGCACGACACGCAGATGAGATGCGCACAGCTCGGTGGGTCTCCTCAGAGGGGACACATCGTGGGTCGGGCCCAGAGAAAGCCACAGGACACTCGCCGCCCCAGGAGCTCCTGGGACTCACCCCCGGCGTGGGGCATTTGTCACCGAGATGACTTCCAGCTCCGTGTTTTTAGTGAATGGAGCCTCTCCTCCGTGCTGCCTTCCACTGGTGGCTGGTGTCTGTGCAGTGGTGGTAGGTCCCCGTGCCGTGCTGACTGTCCTCGCTGCTGGTGGCCTTCCTCTCCGTCCTGCTGGGTTTCAGACGCTCTCTTGTCGCGTGCGGCCAGCTGCGGTCCCCCTTCCTCTGCTATTCTCCTTGCTCTGGCAGCTGCCTCAGGGCCTGGCGGTGGGGGCGGGGAGGGCGGCCTCCTGGCCCCGGCCCTGACCGGAGCCCCAGGCTTCCTTCTCCCGCTCGTGCGGTGAGTCAGCGAGATGGAGCTGGAGCCATCCATCCGCGCATTCCGACAGGCTCCACCCGATCGCTGTATATTTTCTCTTTAATGCACATTGAATTCTGTTGGCTAGCATTGTACTTTGGATTTTTGTGTTGATATTTACAATTGGGATTGATTTTTCTCGCTTCTTTTTTTTTTTTTTTTTTTAGACAGAGTCTCACTCTGTCACCCCAGGTAGAGTACAGTGGTTTCATCACAGTCCACAGCAACCTCAAACTCCTGGGCTCAAGCGATCCTCCTGCCTCAGCCTCCCGAGTAGCTGGGACTACAGGCATGTGCCACCATGCCCGGCTAATTTTTTCTATATATTTTAGTTGGTCAATTAATTTCTTTCTATTTTTAGTAGAGACGAAATGGGGTCTCCCTGTTGCTCAGGCTGGTCACGAACTCCTGAGCTCAAGCCATCCTCCAGCCTCGGCCTCCCAGAGTGCTGGGATGACAGGCGTGAGCCACCGCGCCCGGCCCTGGGATTTATTTTTATTGTTGGTAGAGTCTCCATCAAGTTTTGGTATTGATGTTATACCTTATTCGTAATGTTTTTATCTTTTTCCATGCTGCAGAACAATTTAAGTAGCCTTGAGATTGGTCTTGAGCAAGTTGATGCTTTTGGCTGTGCAGCCATCTACGTCTTTACTACTCTCTTTTCTGTGGAAATCAGGTCATTTAAAGTTTCTATTCTGTAGGACTCAGTTTGGCTAAATTATATTTTCCTAGAAAATATAATTTTCTACAACTATGTGTTAAAAGAGTATTTTCTACAACTATATGTTAAAAAATCTGACCAGGCATCTAAATTATATTTTATATTATATAAATGCCTGGCCAGATTTTTTAACACATAGTTGTAGAAAATGCTCTTTTCTTCCCCCTCCTCTTATGACAGTTATTTTTCGCTGGTTATTTCTTGTTTTGCCTATTTGTGTCTTTCCTTTTTTCTTGATCAGATTATCTAGTGGTTTGTCTATTTTTTTCCATATTTGCTTTTTAATTGGTTGTATTATTTTCCTGTTTTCCAAGTCTTTAATGTTAATGTCTTCATCTTTTCTTTGTTCTGATTCTTACTTTTTGAGTTGGATGTTTAATTCCTTTATTTTTATTTTTAAATCTGTACTGATGTAAGTATTTGAGCCACAGATGCTTCCCCGAGCCCCGCCTTGGCCAGATAACCCGTAGATTCTGACCTGTTTGATAGCATTATTTTCTAGAACTTCTGTAATTGATCAGAGAGGGTTTTAACTTCCTGGTGGAAGGGCCTTTTTGCGTTCACGTTTTCTCCTCGCTCTGTGGATTTGGTGCCCCGAGGTCAGAGAACGTTCTTTGTACTGTTTCTACCTTTTAGAATTGGCCGAGGTGTCCTCGTGCACTCGTAAAAGGTCAGTGTTTGTAAACACCCCATATGTACTCGAGAACACGGCAAGGCCCGTGTCACCAGGGCAGAGAACGCGACATGCGTGTCCACGCGGTGGGCTGCGTGTCAGCTGGGGCAGAGCCCAGGCCGGGCCTCTCCTCCAGCCTCTTCCCAGCGCTCGTGGTACCTGCCGCGCCGCAGCTGCTGCCGTGTCTCTTGGTGCAGGGATAGCTGCAACTGTGTGTTCCCTGAGGCTCACAGGACCTCGGCCTGTCCTCCTCCGCGCCTGTGACCCTCCCGCGTGACAGCAGCCCCGTCCTGTTTTCTTTGCGGTTGCCGGGCACCGCTCTGCCCATCCTCCCCACTGTTTCGGTTTTGTTTTTGTTTTTGTTTTGCTTGCATTTTCCCTTCGAAGGGTCTTGGGAAAGGCTCAGATTTTGGGTGTGCTTCGGTGTTCCTTGCCTGGGCTCACAGAGCGTGTCTATCCCTCTGCAGCCTGCTTTGCCGGTGGCCGATGCCGCGTCACTCTTCCCTCGCTTTCCCAGAGCCCGTCCTCCTCCTCGGTACCTGGGACCAGGTCGAGCAGGGTCCTCGCTCTCGCTGCAGCCCCGGGGAGGGAGCCGCGGCTCGGAGGCTGGCCTCCTTTGGGCAGATGTGGCCGTGGTCGGAGCAGCTGCCGCTGAGGCGTGGCTGGAGCCCAGATCATGCCTCCCCTGCGCAGGGCACCACCAGGGAGAGGGCAAAGGTCACAGCCAGGATGTGGGTTCCGGTCCCTGCGGGGCCTGGTCTGGCCCGTGTCTCTAGTCCCTGCTGAGTCCTGAGGGGCCAGAGCCACCCCCCCACCCCCCGCGCGCCTTCAGCAGCGGTTAACCTGGTCCGCCCCGAGGCGTGGCCCGGCCGTCCGTGGCATCTCACTCTTGCTCACGTTCCTCCTGTTGACACTTCTGCTTTCTTTCCCAGGCTCTCCTGAGACTGGGCGCGGGGGCTGTTCGCCAGGACGTCTGGCTAGGGTGCGGGCCCCCTTGTCCCTCGTAGCCCTCGCCTGCCACTGTCATTACGCAGCCCCCTCCCCCACTTCCTCCCCAAGGCCAGTCTGTCTGGTCCACCAGGCTCGGGGACGGTGTGTTGAGGGGATGGGGTGCGGGGCGGCCAGAGGCCTCGCCTCACAGGGGCTTGGGGACCGGGGCTGGCAGGCAGCCTGGCGAGCTCAGCTCCGACCGCCCAGCGTCCTCCAGGGCCGGCTGCTGGCCGAGCTGGGGCAGGGCTGAATCTGACGGGCCCCTCACCTGCCCCCCAGGGCGGCAAAGAGTACCTGATGCGGGCCCACTTCGGCCTGCCCAGCGTGGAGGCCGAGGACAAGGAGGGCAAGCCCCCGATCAGCGTCAAGTTCGAGATCCCCTACTTCACCACCTCCGGCATCCAGGTATGTGCGGCGCTGGGCCCGGAGCAGAGGCAGGCCGGCCCGGGCTGGCAGGGGACAGACTCCGGCATGCCAGGCTCAGAGACGGTGCGTGTCCGCTCGTCCCGGGACACACCCCCCCCCCCCCCCCAGTGCCACCAGGCTCTGCTTCTCCTCACGGGCCGCCTGACCCTAATTCGAGCCACGTCTGCTCAGACCTGCCCCGTGCTCGGCCCGAAGCCCAGAGACTCCTTCTGCCCTGAAACTGGCGTGCGAGGCTCCGCCGCCCGCACGCTGGGCCCACGTGGGGCCTGTTTTCCTGGCGCCTCCTGGAGAGCCCAGGCGGGAGAGACCCACGGAGAGCTGGAGCCCTCTGGGGCCGGGCCTGCCCCAGGCCTGCCTCAGGCGTGTCCGCGAGCAGGCCCGGCTCCTCGCCCTCTTCCCTCCCCACCTGGCCTCCCCACCTGCCCCGGGAGGAGTGCTGAGGGGGTCCGGGGGAGGCCCGAGCGTGCTCAGGGCGCTGGTGCCCGTGCCCAGGTGCGCTACCTGAAGATCATTGAGAAGAGCGGCTACCAGGCGCTGCCCTGGGTGCGTTACATCACGCAGAACGGAGGTGAGTGCGGTGCGCCTGTGGGAGGGGTGCCCTCGGGCGCAGGTGCCGCCCCAGGCCCCACAGCCTTGCGGGCCCCTCCCCCACGGCACGGCCGAGCACGGACGCCTCCCGTCTCCTAGATTACCAGCTCCGGACCCAGTGACGCCGCCGCAGCCAGCGCCCGGCCCGGCCCGGCTCCCGGCGGACACACCTGCCAAGCCCCGACGCGGGCGCTCCTGGCCTCTGGCTACCTCCGGCCTCCGCCCGGGACCCCTCCAGGCCGCCCGCCCTGCGTTGACGCTCGCCTCACAAGCCCCTCGCCCACAAGAGGCCTGTCCTGAGAAGTCTCGTCTGCCGCCCCCGTCGGTTTCGGGGAAGGAGATGAAATCTTCCCTCCGGACTCAACCGCAGCCTCCGCGCTGCCGCGTGCACGGTACCAAAAAGCCCGGCCGGCGCGTGCCGGGCTCCCGCCAAGGTGGCCTCCTGCCGCCCGAGGACGCGCCCGCCCGCCTGCCAGCCGGCAGGGCCGTCTTCATTGCCATGTTGTCGCCCGTGACAGGCCGTGGGTGTCTCCAGAACTCTCTGTTCACCTGTTGTTGTTTGCGTTTCCCCTCGTCCCGCGGCACTTAGCGAGGACACGCCCTCGCCCCCACGCCTGCTCAGCCGTTTACACGCCCGGCCGGGGCCTGGCGCTCGCCGGCGCCCTCGGAGGCCCTGGCTGGCTCTCGGGCTCGCTGCGGCGCCCTCCCGGCCGGCCTGGGCGCGGCGCTGTCCGGTGCCACTGCCCCGCCGCCAGATCAGTGTTTGTCCCGGGAGGTGGAGCCCCGAGAGGGTGCCGCCAGGTCCAGAGGGCAGGGGACTCGCGTCCCTCCCTGCCCGCCCCGTGCGTGTTCGGGTTGCAGTTACATTAAATTCCATTCCTGAAACACGCCTCCTGCCTCCCCTCCGTCGCGGCGGGGCCGGCTCCTCCCGCCCACACGCAGGTGCGGGCTCCGCTCGCCTGGCTCTGCCCCGGCCCCGCGTGGCCCCGTCACGCGGCGTCACCAGCTCTCCCCACGCCTCCTTGCTGGCAAATAGGAACCAGCAGCCACAGGACGGTGGCCCCGCTGCAGGGGCCCGCCAGGGCCGCACGGAGGAGGGCGCACAGGCAGGGTGATTGTTGTCACCTGCTCGAGCCTCGTGCCACCAGCAGCTCGTCCCATCACTGGGCGCTCGCTAGGGACGCAGGTGCCCGGGCCCACCCTGACCCGCCAGAGCAGAGGCCCTGGGGCGAGGCCGGACCTGCGTCACCGGCTCCCAGCCGCGCCCTCGCCCTTGTCGTCTGACGGCCCTGCCTGGTCCGCGGTGGGGACGGAAGTGCCACCTGCGTGCTCCATCCCTGCCCCTCCAGCACTGGCGTCCCGCCTGCCAGCCCCCCCTCGCCTTTGAGAGCTTCCTTCCCCCTCTGTCCCCTGGGTCACCGAGCCCCCCATGGCTGTCTGGCGGCTCCCTGTGTAACAGCCGGGCTGGAATCCGGCCTTCACCGAGTGCAGTCTTCCCTGTCGTGGCAGCGACTGCAGCCCGGCTCCTGCCCAAGCCCTCGGGCCTGCGCGCCCACATCTACCGCCGGCCCTCGGCCCCTCCAGAAGACCCAGCCCAAGCCCACTTGCCATCCTCACTGTCACCCCTAGGGACCTCGGGGGCCTCCTGGCACGGCAGGGCAGCGGGGACAGTGGGCGGCAGGGCAGGGGCTCTGTTTGCGGCAGTGCGTCAGCGTGACCCGAGACCCTCCTGCCGCAGACGTGCCTAACAGTGTGCGTGGCCTCACCCGTGAGAAAGCGGGGCCCCAGCGCCCAGTGGGGGGGCGGGACGCCCGAGGAGCAGCAAGAGCCCTCGCCGGACGGGCCCACAGCAGCCGGCGGGCGAGACTGAAGGGCCGGGATGGCGGCGCGCAGTGGGGATCCTGCGTGAGGCTGGAGCCTGGGGGAGCGGGTCACAGTTGCACCTACAGTGGGACAGGTAGACTAGACGAGACATTTGCCCTCAGTCCTGGGGGAGCGGGTCACAGTCGCACCTACAGTGTGACAGGTAGACTAGACGAGACATTTGCCCTCAGTCCTGGGGGAGCGGGTCACAGTTGCACTTACAGTGTGACAGGTAGACTAGACGAGACATTTGCCCTCAGTCCTGGGGGACCAGGTCACAGTCGCACCTACAGTGTGACAGGTAGACTAGATGAGACATTTGCCCTTTAGCCCTGGGGGAGCGGGTCACAGTTGCACTTACAGTGTGACAGGTAGACTAGACAAGACATTTGCCCTCAGTCCTGGGGGAGCGGGTCACAGTCGCACCTACAGTGTGACAGGTAGACTAGACAAGACATTTGCCCTCAGTCCTGGGGGACCAGGTCACAGTGGCACCTACAGTGTGACAGGTAGACTAGACAAGACATTTGCCCTCCAGCCCTGGGGGACCAGGTCACAGTGCACCTACAGTGTGACAGGTAGACTAGACAAGACATTTGCCCTCCAGCCCTGGGGACAGGGTCACAGTGGCACCTACAGTGTGACAGGTAGACTAGACAAGACATTTGCCCTCCAGCCCTGGGGACCAGGTCACAGTGCACTCTACAGTGTGACAGGTAGACTAGACGAGACATTTGCCCTCCAGCCTGGGGAGCGGTCACAGTCGCACCTACAGTGTGACAGGTAGACTAGACAAGACATTTGCCCTCCAGCCCTGGGGGACCAGGTCACAGTGGCACCTACAGTGTGACAGGTAGACTAGACAAGACATTTGCCCTCCAGCCCTGGGGGACCAGGTCACAGTTGCACTTACAGTGTGACAGGTAGACTAGACGAGACATTTGCCCTCAGTCCTGGGGGAGCGGGTCACAGTGGCACCTACAGTGTGACAGGTACACTAGATGAGACATTTGCCCTCAGTCCTGGGGGATGGCCCGTTCTCTCTCTTGGCCTGAGACATGGCGAAGAAAAAGGCTCCCCTGAATCTCACTGCCACCAGCTTGGAGCAGAAACGTCTGCCCTCCCTCCGGCCTGGGACACCCGAGCCCCGCCATCGCTGACGGGGAAGCGCCCTGGAGGGGCATGACCGCAGCCCGGGCCGCCCACGGTCCTGGGTGCAGTGTGCCCTGACCACGAGGGCAGGTCCCCAAAACTGAAAACCTGGTGCGTGAGAGCGGACTGTGAAGATCCGATCCTCGGGAACTTTGTGTGAGACCATTGGATAGCTGAGGAGACCAGGCGGCTCCAGGCCAAAGAATGACTCCAATGAGACAAGGACAAAAGCCATCAAGACTGACTTGGGCCAGGTGCGGTGGCTCACGCCTGTCATCCTGGCACTCTGGGAGGCCGAGGCGGGAGGATTGCTCGAGGTCAGGAGTTTGAGACCAGCCTGAGCAAGAGCGAGACCCTGTCTCTACTATAAATAGAAGGAAATTAATTGGCCAACTATATATATATAGAAAAAATGAGCCGGGCGTGGTGGCGCATGCCTGTAGTCCCAGCTACTCGGGAGGCTGAGGCAGGAGGATCGCTTGAGCCCAGGAGTGTGAGGTTGGTGTGAGCGAGGCTGACGCCACAGCACTCTAGCCGGGGCAACAGAGCGAGACTCTGCCTCAAAAATAAAATAAATAAATAAAAAGACTGACTTTTGCAGCATCTTAACAGGGCAGCTCATTTGCATCCAGATAATTCAGGTAACTCCGACAGACCAGTCAGAATCAGAAAGAACCCAACAGAAAATGGGAAATGTGTGAACAAACAATACCAAGGAGATGAGGTACGAATGGCAAATAAACAGGAAAAGATGTTCAGCCTTGTAGGCAACTAAGGAGATAAACTCAAACCACAATTAGATGCTCTTTAACACTCATTGTTCCAAAGAAATTTTTTGAGTCTGATAAAAGCAGATACTGGTGAACAAGTAGAGCTACATAAAATGTGTACGCTGCTAACAAGTGTATAAACTCACACAATCGCTTTTAAAAACTGGCAAGACCAGCAGAGTTAGCAGCTGCATTTGCCTGCAGCCCAGCAGTGCCACGCCCGGTGCAGACTCTTGCCCTTCTCGAGCGGGCTTCTGCAGGGAAGTGAAGGCCTGGCCAGGCACCTGTCGCAGGTAATGACTTCACCTCTCTCCTGAGCACAGCGGCTACGCGGGCGAGTTGGGATCTTAGTCCCTGGAATCATCTTCTGTATGCCAGAATGTTGTTCTCGCAGGACTCCAGTTGAGAAATGCCCCGAGAAACCCGTGCACCAGCACCGGCGGAAATATCACCCGCGCAGTCCTGGCTGTGACCCACGTCCTGGCTGTGACCTTTGCCCTCCGTAGCAGCGGAGTTCGTGTCAGCAAAACACTGGAAAGCAACCAACGTGCCTCAGTAGGAGAACAGACCGTCGCGGTCTACTCACACAGATTGTAGCCGTGAGAAGGAATTAAATTAGACCGATGACACGGTTCAGAATGAACCTCAACATTGAGGCTGGGTGCGGTGGCTCTCGCCTGTATTCCCAGCACTTTGGGAAGAAGATCAGTTGAGGCCATGAGTTTGAAACCAGCCTGGGCAGCAGAGTGAGACCCCATCTCCGCAAAAAAAATAATAACAATAATTAGCCAGGTGTGGTGGCAGGTGCCTATAGCCCCAGCTACTCGGGAGGCTGAGGCAGGAGGATCGCTTGAGCCAAGGAGTTTGAGGCTGTAGTGAGCTATGATTGGGCCACTGCACTCCAGCTCGGGCGACAGAGCAAGACCCCATCTCTGAAATAGAAAAGTAAAAAAAAAAATTTAAAAATACACTCACATAATCATTAAGTGGAAAAACAGGTTACAAAAGAAAGCATGCAGTATTCTAGCATAAAGTCTGGAAATATTCATATTCCATGTGCCAAGTAATCCGTATATATGAAGCAAAAGTCTAGCAAGATGCTTGAGAATTAGAAGAACTTCAAGTCCCTGGGTATCTCTGAGGGCAGAACAGGAAGGAGGTGCCACCTAGGCCTCTGCTCTTCTGGCAGTTTCCTTAAGCTTGGCGCTCAGTGGTTTATGCTCCGTGCTTGCTTTATGCTTTTTGCAGTTCTTCCATACTGCTTTATTTAAAAAAAAAAAAAAAGGCCGGGCGCGGTGGCTCACGCTTGTAATCCTAGCACTCTGGGAGGCCGAGGCGGGCGGATTGCTCAAGGTCAGGAGTTCAAAACCAGCCTGAGCGAGACCCCGTCTCTACTATAAAAAATGAAAGAAAATTAATTGGCATCTAATATATATATATAAAAAATTAGCCGGCATGTAGCACATGCCTTGTAGTCCCAGCAACTCGGGAGACTGAGCAGAGATTGCTATAAAGGCCCAAGGATTGAGTTGCTGTGAGCGAGGCTGACGCCACGGCGATCACTCTAGCCCTAGGCAAAGAAGCGAGACTCCTGTCCCTCAAAAAAAAAAAAAAGATAATGCAGATTTGCAGGAAAAATCCCAATTCCTACAAATGGAAAACATAATCATAGAAGTTACCAAGCTGGTTGGAGGGTGTTAAAAGATAGGTGAGACTTGGCTGAAGAGAAGGAACTAGAAGAAAGCTGTCTGAAGCAGTTACCCGGGATACAGCACAGAGAGTTAATGAGACCATTTATAAGCACACACACGTGTCTGGTATGTCCACAGGTTCTGCCCTGGTGTGATCAACCGACCTCAGATTGAAAATATTAGGAAAAAACTGCATCTGTACTGAACCTGCACAGGCCTTTTCCTTGTCATTGTTCCTCAGTGCAGTATAAGGACTCCCGTGTTTCCCCGAAAATAAGCCCTACCCATAAAATAAGCCCTAGCAGGCCGGGCGCGGCGGCTCACGCCTGTCATCCCAGCACTCTGGGAGGCCGAGGCCGGAGGATCGCTCGAGATCAGGATTTGAAAACCAGCCTGAGCAAGAGCGAGACCCC